GAGTAAATTAATATTAGCACCTTGCTCCAAGCCAAAAGAAATAAAGCAGAAAATCAAAGTTATTCTTAACGCCAAGAAAATTGCAATTTCTGGCCAGATTTGCAGTCCCAGCCTCATGCTGCTAATGTTATCCTTTATTTTGACCAAGACATCATTAACATAGCTGCTGACTTGACAAAGGTGATGCCAGACAAACTTCACCTGATCCTAACAGTCAACTGATGGGATTTTTCAAGAAAGAAACACAAAAAGCCAAACAAAAGGGCCCCATGAGAGGCTTCTGCAGTGTCAGAGCTGGTGGGACAGAGGGAAATCTGCTTGGTCTCCAAATAGGATGGGCAAGGGCTCTTTTGCAGTGACAGCTGAATTTTCAGTTGATCCCTTTATGTTGCCTTGCTTGATTCCAAACTCACCTGGTGCCTGCTGGTTGGCTCTGGCACCGCAGTTCCTGCTCTGCACCATTGTGGATCCCCAGAAGCTGTGCTGCTGACCTTAATTCAAGTGGGAAAGCAGGCCCAGAAGAATGGTCTCAGCATGGGAAAGGTCTATCAATCCAAATTCTTTGACAATAGCGGAGAATTTAGGTTTGCATCTGATTTCTCTGAAGGGCCAGAACTGATGTCTGGACCCAGTGATGTTCAAGGAGCTGAACTTTTTGCCTTGAGCGTTCCCATACCTCCAGCAACCGATAGCTCGCTCCCTACTTGGGCTGAGAAATGTCCTTTCAATCACCAGATTGGGCGTGGTGGTTTTGCACGATGAGTAAACACCAAATGCAGCTGCCTGGAGAAATAAACACCTGGCAAAATATTTTTGGAGGATTAGTCATTGTCTGTGTGTTTGGGAAGGTTGCATCCCCAGCTGCACAGCGCGTGTCATGGGGAGCCTTCCTGAGCCCATTTCTTTGGATGCCTTCCTGATTCTGTTGTCGAGTGGCTTCACACACAGCCTGCCCGTGGTTTTTCAGCATAGATGCTGCCTTTCTTGTATTGCAGGTGTAGCTGTGGGACAACAAAATGTCCCAAGAATTGGTTAGAGCCAATGGTCAAAGCATGCTGGCATGAATTTACGTGTGGGTGCGCAGGAGGACAATCCCTGCTTATAGCTGCTGGGATCCCACAGCACAGACTTCTTGCAGTGGGCTTGTTCCTTTGGCCAGAAATCTGGGTTAACGTCAGCACAAGGAGCCACATGCAGAGCTCTGGGATTTCATCCAAGAAACCTGATCCACGTGATTTGAATTACAGATAAACAAGCAAAAACACTGCAGAAGGAGAAGGGAGAGAGAACATTGGGAAGGCACGATGATGGGAGAAAGCTGCTTGAAGAGGGCAGGCTGTACATTGCCCACACATTGGTGACAGTAGGTGACAGCAGCCACCTGCAGCCCATGCTCAGGGAATTTATACCCCAATATCACCTCTACATTTGCTGCTTTGGGAAAGCTGCATCAGGTAGCCTTCAGCTGCCTACACACCGTTACAGTGCAGTCCCAAAATGCCAATTTTTGGTGATGTGAGATGCAGCTGGATCAGATAAATCAGCCATCGTCTTGCGGTGGCAACTGGAGGTCAGCAGCATTTTCTGTCAGGCTCAGAGAAGGCTCTTCGCAGTTGTAAAGCTCTGGATAAATGCATTCTCATCTTGCTTCTCGCTGCAGAGGGATGGTTTGGAAGCAAATTACAGCAGCAGCACGGAGAAGGGCATGGAAACGCTTGGCAGCAAATTGCTGCTCCCTGCAGTGGCAGCTGGTGAAGCACCTCACGTTTGCCAGCAATGGTCAGGGATGGAGCCTGCCTCCCAAATACGTGGTTCACATGGATACCAAACTGCAGAGCCTTCCCAGCCTCTATTTTTTTTTTGCAACAGTTTATCACGTTATCTGTTGACACTAACTTCAGAAGGTCTGTAATTTGCAGCATCACCTCTGTTCCTACCAGGAACCCTCACGATTAATTATCACCTATCAAAAAGAACAAGGGTCACAAAAGCTTTGGACTGTTTAAATAATACTGACTTTATGCTTCCCATTAGGTTATTAGATAGCAGATTGATTGGAGGCATGTGATGCATCTAGTCTAGCTACAATACCTCCCTAACTCAGCTTTGCTGGGCACAGAACCAGCCCAATGCAGTTTTCTTTCCCACCTTTCCCTTTTATTCCACCTCCCCTAGTTCCCTTGAACTGTATCCTGCAGGATGATGCTGGAGAAACATGGGACATTTTCATCTCCATGTGGTCCGCAGCAAACATTGCTCTTTGCAAGTGGAATGTTGAGCTCATTAAAAACACTCATTAATCCCTTTTTATCTATCAGTGTTTGTTCCCAGCTCGGTCATTAAACGAAGAACAGAAGTTTTGTCCTGCTAGCAAACTGGTTATTTTTGGAATCCTACCAAGGAGTTTTTCTTTCCACCAAGCCGCCCTTGCCCTCTCCCAGTCCCAAAGGCTCCATATGCAAGTGGGAAATACTGAATTATTTACCTTAGACAGTCATAGTGAAGGTCAGCAAAGGAAAAGAACCGGAACTCATTCTGCTCATAGGTCTGACGGTGCCATGGGGCTGGTGCCCAGCAGATCTGGCCTTGCCTTGCTTCTTGGGCACCTTTGGTTCCATTACGTCCAGGCAAAGAAATAAGACAAGGCCTATACAGGTTTACCCCAAGGTCACGGCTGTTTGCCAGCTCTGTGCCCATATCCAACAGCTGTGTGGCACTGTCTGGCAGCCAATTTTCCTTGCTGGCAGCACCAAGCAGGACTTCCTGTTCTACGAATGTGCAAATGAAATAGATAGATGTGTTTCCAGGCAAATAACTGATATGTATATATATATATATACATATATATATATAAAGAGAAAAAAGTCTCCCTACTTCTCACACTTTTGAACAAAGCAGTGGTGACTTCTGCTCAGGCCACGAGCGCATTGTTAAAAGCATCTGCTTTCACTTAAGGATCTTGAAGGATTACAGAACTCCAGGAACATGCAAATTCAAGAGCTATAGAAGAGCCAGAGTGGAGAAAGTTAAGTGTTCCCTTGAGGGCATTCGAGTTTACAGAGTTTTACTTCACTTTAATTAGAATCCCAGAACATCATCTGCTGAAGGGCTTTTTCAGTTGTATTTTATTATTCTACATAATAAATGTGCATATCCCTTTCTTGACCCCTCAGAGCTGTACATCACAAGGTGAACTCAACTCAGATCACACTGGCTGGGTAGCAAGAGCCCACGTCACACGAGTGTGCAAGTGATGCTGCCTTGCATAGGTATCAAAATGCATAGGGAGACAAGTTTGACTTGAATTTCCCTGCAGTGAAGACCTTTAAATGCATCTTTAGTGTCCATGTGTGTGTGAGTGCCCAGGCTGCCTTAAATGCACCCTGACCCTGCTGCTGGGTCCTGCCTGTTCCGATGCTGCAAGGAAAGCACAGCTAAATTCCAGCATCACTGGGGCTGAACACAACAGTGCTGGCTGATATCCAGCTGAGGCTTCTGCTTTGGTTTTCTTTTTTTTCTTTTCTCAGATTGTGCATTGCAACTTAGCACCAAAATTGCTTCTTTTCTCTATTGCTGCTTGTTAGATAATGTTGCCAAAGTTGATAACGTGATGCAGGACCCTATCTTGACTGCACCCTTTGGCTTTGGCTCAGGGACTTCGTGCAAGCACCTCAGCATCATCCTTGGGCTCTATTTGCTTCCCACAGGCTGTGGTTTTGGAGAAATATATTTGAGAGCAGAGTGGCAGGCTTTGTATGCAATTGTATTGCTTTCAGAGGGTCAGGAGAGGAAGGGCATACTGAGCACTCATGCTGGCTGTTTGTGCCCGTGTCCCTGCTGGGTTTTCCCAGTCAGGCTCTGTGCTTCCCATTGTATCATTTTCCTTAGCTCATTTTGGGAAAGAGGTCAAGGAATTTTGCTGAAATTTTCCCAGAAGGTTTGCCTACGGGGCTGCCAATATGAAGGAAAATCAGTGGCACTGGGAAATCTCAGGGATCCTCACTGTCACAGATTTTAATTTGTGCAAACATTGTGTCTGCAGGCAGCAGTAAAGAATGCCTTTCATTCCTGGGAATGTGAGCAATAATTGCGCTTTGGCCACAGCACCTGCTTGCTTGCACCAAAATGTCGCTGCGGCAGCACGAGCTGCCAGGACCCACAGGGAGAAGGGACCTTTGGGAGAAGGAGAGCTTTGCAGAAGCACAGCAGGTGTTGCCCCTGCTCTGTTCAAGGCTTTGTAACCTTGGGGAAGTCAATTTGGTTCCTTTCATTTCTGGGCTGGTGGCACAGGTGGGGACATGCTGCCCCATACTGCAGCCGGCACCAGCAGATCCCAACCCTGCCTGATGTACATCACCGTAGACGGCTCTGCCTTCTCATGATTTCTCATTTTGCTTCCTCTGTCTCAGTAAGAAAATATCATCCAGCTCATGACATTTCCTTGAAGTTGCTTGTGAGCTGTTCCCGGTGCTCACCAGGGCAGTGCTGCACACAGCCGGCAGGATTTGAGCCAGCTTCTCCACCCAGCGCCGGGGCTGATGAACTCCCCGGAGATGTGTTTGCCATCACCATGGCCTTTAAGGAGTCCTGGAACACGGTCTAATTTCATGATTTTTTCCATCTGGCTTGCCAGTTTAAAGCCGTTTTCACACATGGACAAAAATAACTTCATTTTTCTCACATGAGCTCTGGAAGCAGGGGCTTGTGTTGGTGAAAGGACACCAGGCATCCACGGGAGCAGCTGGGACACAGCAGGTGCCTCTTATCCCCTGTAGACAGTGGGCAGGGGGCACACAGGGACAACCCTCAGGCAAAGAGGGGATGAATGCCAGCACTGGAATGCTGTCACAGCTCTGACATCCCAGGGTCAACCCCATGCTGCCCTCTCGTCCACCACATGTCATTGTCCCCGAGCCCCTTCTCACGGGACAGCTTTTAGCCCTGCTGAAAGCAGCACCAAAGGGAGGAGGCGAGATGCCGATGACCTCGCTGCTGATGTCAGAGCAGAGCTCTGCACTTCGTTGCCATGGCAATGGAGCGAGGACCACAACACACATTTTCTGGCACTACGTCAGCTGCTCCCACTGCATCCCGGGGAATGTTCTCACGGGACCGTGGGCTTCACATGCTGCAGTCTCATTCTTGGGTTCCTCACCTTGCAGGTATCTCCTGGTGAAGCAAAACCATCTGTTTTCTGCTGCTCCTTCCCCCGTAGGATGCTGTGCAGGAGTGGAGCTGATGATTAGAGGTGCACCATGGATGTGCCAGGAGATGCCAAGAAATACCGTGGCCCTGTGCCTGTGTGTAGCTTTTCTATGGCCTTGTTGTGATCTGGGGTCTTGCTTGAATTTTTCTTTTTTCTTTTTTTTATGTTTGGAAACAGCTTCTCTCAGTCAGTATTTTCAGCATCTCACAGTAATTTTCTGAAAATGACACCAAACCACTCGGGAGGTGTTTAACAAAGATGAATCAGCTTTACAAGGATGGTCACATGGGAACTCGGAGCCTCAGCGCAAAGGACAATCTTAAGTGAAAATAAGGCCATAAGGCTGTCACTGGGGGGAGCTGATCCCCAGGCATCCCATAGCTGCAGGCAAGCCTTTGGGCGCAGGCTCAGCACATTGTGAGGCAGCTGAGGGCACGCATTTTTCCCTAAAGCCTTCTGTGCGTCCCATCCTTAATTCTCCACTCCTTTCCTTCCTGCGAAAACAGGGGGAAGGAATGTTTGGGGAGTGAGGTCAGTGGGAAGGCTGTACTTGCCTCCATCTGGGCTTGGCTGGAGCTGGGGCATGCAGGTGGCCAGAAGGATGGGTGAGGGGATGCGGCTGTGAGCATCTCCTTCGCACCTGAATAACTTCTGGTGTTATTATTTGATCCTGTGCGAACTGAATGATTTAAGGCTGTGGAATTTTGCTCCTCCCAGAAAGAGGAACAAAGTGTCCAGCTCAGCGCCGTGGCTGCTGAGGTCCGCCGCTGGCTCCCCACCTCTCTCCTCCTGCTGCTCCTTTTGGGATAACAATGGCAGGATCCAGATGCTTATCTGAGGCTCCCACCGCCGCCCTCAGCTGAAGCGCAGCGGCTGTGCAGGGGCACCGAGCCCAGTCCCGTTAGGATCAGGCTATTGAGTGAGAATTCACTGGGATTAGGTGTTATTGAGCAGAAGGCACCCCAGTGAAATAGCAAAGATTTCGCATGTGAATGGTACTAATGCAATCCCACAGCTCCAGCACACATGGATTTGTCACCTGTTGGTAAATCACTAAAATACAGGCTAAAACTAAGCTGTGCAAAGGACACAGAAATAGAATAAGAAAAGTCTGGCTGCTGAGCTGCACCTCCTGCTTGAGATTTCCTTTCCCTGTACCCATGCCCTGAGGACTGGCATTTCCAACACCCACATATTGTGATGATGCATTGCAGACAGACAGTATTTCCCCAAAGATAACCAGAAAATATGTAATTATCAACCTCATATTGAACTGAGAGCCACAACAGCCCTAAGGGTCCTTATAAAATGAACAAGCGAGTTTTTGGAACCAGATTATCAGAACAGCACAGCCCCAAATTGCTGGTTTGGGATAAACTCAGCTCACACAACATGGACAAAGCTCCAGTGTGGCACAGATGGGCTGTATGGGATATGTGCACAGTTATATGAATAGATTTATGGGAGATAATGCTGGAAAAATCTCTGGATTTTGAATTTTCTTTGACGTGTCAATGCTCAGCAGTGAGGTTTTGGAGCAGCAGTGCCAGGCACTTATCCTACAGCTCTGGGGAGTAGCATGCTAGGTTCTCTACGCCAGTATTCTTCCCTCTGAGCCCTGCTGGCTTTCCACAGAAGAGATTTATGTTTGCTTCTTATTTTTATTTAATGTGATATTTTGCTATGTGGGGCCATAAGGGGGCACACAGTGGATACAGCAGCAGGGCTGCCCTGAGTGTGCGATAGCAAGTAGAAAACTGCTGATGCTTTCCTGTATTGCAGGGTGCCTCCCTGCAGGAAACAGTGCTTTGTGGTGCGGAGCGTTTTGCCTTCCTGCGTGGCTCCTCTGCTGAGCACTGGGAAAATTGGGGTGTACCCCATGGCTGGAGAAAGGCAGCGTAATGCTGAGGGCCTGCAAGAGCCCCATTTCCCAAAAAGCTCTCCAAGGTCCACTGTGCTGCCCCGTTATATAAAGATGAATTAAAGGGTTCAATCTGCAGTCGGCTCACAGCATGACGAGCTGTGATTTAACCATAGCAGCAGAGAGGCAGCTGACTGCTGATTGCTTTGCCACTCTCTCACTGGTGCCACAGAGGTGAGGCTGAGGAGCTGGGAGAATGGGGCATTGGGCACTGAGGCATGGCAGCCCCAGGAAGGGGACACTTCTGCCCCTGTGACCTTTGGTTGGGACACATGTCTTCATATGAGTCACCGTGTGCAAGGAGGGTGTGTTCAGCTTTTCCTGTGCCACCTCCCTCCAGGGACCATGATGCTCCCCTTCCAAGCATGTTTCTCAGAGACAAAGCCTGAAGAAATGGTGCCAGAGCAATGAAAATGCCCTGCAAACCCAAGCACTGCCTGTACACGTGGTTCTTAATGTGCGGCACGCCTTTCCATCAAGCTAAACAATGCTGACCATCATTTCCAGGACAGACTGCCTTCGGTAACGCCTTAATAAACTTTTCCCTTTGTTTGAGATTTTGGTTTCCTTTTTCTCGGACATTAAGCTGCTTCCTCCAGTTCTCTGGAGTTCTTCAGATCGAGGTGGAGACACATTTCAGATAAAGACATGCTATTGTTCTGACAGGGAGGTGCTGAGCAAGATCTCCATCCGACCTCATGTGCTCACCTATGGGATATGCGCTGCCTCTCTGGGCAACCTTAGTTTTACACTTTCCTTAGTGTAAAAGGCTTCTTCCTTATGTCCAATCTAAATCTCTCCTCCTTTAATTAGAAACCATTTTCCCTTGTCTTATCACAGCAGACCCTGCTGAAGAGTCTGTCCCCTTCCTTCTTACAGCCCCTTCAGATACAGAAGACCACTCTCAGGTCTCCCAGAACCTTCCCTTCTCCAGGCTGCACAGACCAGCTCTCTCAGCCCTGAGCTCATTTTTGCAGCCCTCCTCTGCACATCTCCAGCAGCTCCATGTCTCTCCTGTACTGAGCACTGCCCATCTGGACGCAGTGCTCCAGGTGAGGTCTCACAGCACAGAGCAGAGTGCAGACCTCCCTCACCCTGCTGGCCACGCTTCTTTTGATGCAGCCCAGGATGTGGTTGGCTCTCTGGGCTGTGAGGGCACAGTGCTAGCTCATGTCCAGCTGCCATCCATCAGTACCCCAGGTCCTTTTTGGCAGGTCTGTGCTCCATCCTTACATCCCCAGCTTGTACTGATAGTGGGGGTTGCTGCAACGTAGGGGTTGACCTTGCACTCAGCTTTGTTGAACCTGAAGAGGTTCTCCTGGGCTCACTGCTCAGCCTGTCTAGGTCTCTCTGATGGTATCCCATCCCTTGGGCTTGTCGACAGTACCACACAGCATGGTGTCATCCATAGACTGCTGAGGGCACACTCAATCCCACTACTGATGTCATTGATAAAGATGTTGAAGAGCAGTACTGACCCTGAGAGACACCACTCATCACTGATGTCCATTGGCCACCACTCTCACTCATGTTCCATGAATATTCGCATGTCAATGGTCCTGGTCACTGTCAATTTCTTCCAAAATCATCCCTCAAAGCCATAGTGCTTATACTTTTTGTCATTCTTTAAGAAGACAATATGGAGCGAAGCCTTCCCCACTGGTTTGGGGCTGAAACCCATCATCTCCATATGTGAAGAGAAGACTTGCTTGGCATCACCTCCTTGGTCAAGGGACTCCTGAATCACAACAAGCTCACGGCTTTTTTTTTTTTTTTTTTTTTTTGTTAAAACTCTCTCTTAATTGCTTTATTTTAAGTGCAATACTTCACATCAAAACCTCAGCATCCAGGCTTAGGAGCTCTGCTTCTTCCAGCCTGACCCCAAACTCAACTCGGTGCAAACAGTCCATCCAAAGAAGTGGCCACCTAGCACGGATGGTGCTTGTCTTTGCCTTCGCCTTGACTTTCTGTTTACAGATGATTACAATATGAGGCTTATATTGAATAATGCTAGCTGAAGATAACCCGCTTGTTTACGTTGGCTTTGATGACACCAGAAATGAAGCTCCAGCAGCACGCAGCAGCTGGCTCCTGACACATCCTCCATGTGAAAGCTGTGCAAAGGAGATCATTCTGGCTTTGTAATAAATGCAGTCTCCTTTTCCTTTGCAAGCATCGGGGTGAGCTGAGTTGCATGTAGTCGAATGTTGTTATGCATTAACTGAGTGAGATTCAGCAGATGCAGCCCCTCAGAGGATTCTAGCCTCCTTTTCCTTCCAGTACCTGCCACTCAGACCCTGCCTGTTCCTCAGGACCATCTTGCATGTGTGTGAGGCCAGCAGCTGTGGGGCGTGGGATGCTGCTGCACAGCCACGTTTGTTCAATTTAAGCCATTTTGGGCCACCTTTGATTTTTTCCTCATTTCTGTGTTTCCTGCTTGGAGGTCCCCAGGCTGCAAACCTTAGGCAGGAAATTTAGGGGAAGATCACAGATATACAAACTCTTGCAGGAGGATGAATGAAAGCAGGCAGAAAATTGTGCATTGGGAATAAACATTCCATAAGAGGAGGAAATTCATGTTTAATACAAACCCCACCACTCCCATGGCTTTGCTCCAGTAAGGAAACCACAGAAATTTGGAGGCACCTTCACTCGTGCATGCATGTGGGTGTCCTAGATGTAAGTGAGAGCCTCCCAGAGTCAGTAAGGGGCCCCAAAATCTTCACCTTGGATGCCACTGTCTATGTCCCGACATCCTCACCTAACAGGGATGAGTTACCCGTGGGAAAGAATCCTTCTGATCAGTAAACACCAAGAGAAACAAGTCCTTGCCTATCCCCCAAAACACTGCAATTGCCTCTCATCATGCCAACACAGCCTTCCTGCAGGCAGCAACTTGAGCAACTAAAAAAATAGGCAGTGTTGCCTCATCTCTGGGATGGAAGGAAAAAAGGAAGTGCTAATGGATGGTGGTTTTCCTCCCAGTCCATTGCAAATTCAGCAGCTGGAATGGTTCTCCAAGGTTTCAGGGCTTGGTTGTGCACCTTGAAGGTGGAGAGGAACGAGCAGCTGGAGGAATGGGTGAGAAGCTGTGGAACATGCTGGTCTGGATGACTGCTGATGTCCTTGGAGCGACAGAAGTGCTAAAGTCTGCACTGGAGAAGAGGTATTTGAAAGCTCTGAAAGAAGGTTCAGTTTAGCAAGAGAAAGCTCAGCTTTGGAGATGTTACTGGGAACTGAAGTTTCAAATTTCAAGAGGAACAAAAAAAGTGCAAAAGCTTCAGAAAAAAAAAAACACCATGAATGAAAGAATTTCTCCCCAGTTCTGGGGCAGTTTGAGATGAAAGCTAACACACAGGCATTCAGTGTTTTGTAAGCCAAGGTTCACCTGCTGCTATTTTGAAATGCAACATAAAATTTTGGAAACACTGCTCCTATCAAGAAGCATTCCTCTGTGGCCACTCCCCAGGCATGAGAGACCACAGGGTGATGCTTACTATTGACAGGGGAAACTCCCAAGCTATGCCAACAAAAGGAAAAGAAGGCATGAAAGTGTGTTAAAGATGTTTTCTCATCTGTTTTTTTTTCCCCAACTTCATAGCCAGCTTGGCTGTTTGCTCAGGTCCTTCCTGAACACGCTGCAGACATTGCTTTTGGAGGCTGGGAACTCTTAGCAACACTTTCTTTTTTATTATTATTTTTTTTTAATGATTCCTATTTTTCCAGCTGTTGTCACTGTCGTTGTGTGACGTGATTTATTCTCCATCCCAAGCTTACCAGCAGCTGCCCAATAAGAAAGGATAGCCAAATCCACCAGCCTGCATTCAGACCAGGGGGAGAACAGCCTTGGGAGCCAGGCATGGGGCAGATCTCCCCTCCTCCTTCATAGGCAATGAAAGGGAGGAAGGGAGGCATGCAGCGCCAGTGCTCAGAAGTGAGGCGGTACTCGGGTGGGAACTCACCACTCATTTCCTTTCATCCAGATAACTATTTGCTTACTTCATCAAAAAGAAAACATCATCAATTGCCTCTCCTCTGCCCTACAGTTACACCGGGATTGTGCTGTGGTTTTCCTGGAAAAGGATGAAAATGCCAAAGGATGAAACTCTCAGCATGAGCGACTTTGAACGGCGTAACAAGTGGAGAGTGACCCCAAGCCTTCCCACTGCTCCCACCTCTCCAAATAAAGCTTTTTTCTCCCCCTTCCATTTTTTCCTTCCTTCCTCCTTTTTCTTTTCCCTGTGCTGATGGAGAGCCAAGGAAATGGGGAAGGGAAGGGAATGGGGAAGCCATTGGCTCTACATCACAAGAGCTGTTGTGCATCGCACCTTTGTCGTGGTGGTCTTGCTATGAGTTGCTGAGCATAGAAACTGGACCTTTATGCCCTTCTTTGAACAGCCCCCTTCCTGTTAAACTAATTGCAAAACAAGCAGAAGCCTTCAGAAGGTGAATGTCTGTCCAGTGAGAGTCATTACATCCACCCCCTCTAATGATGTCCATGCTTCCCAGCGGCGCTGCAGCCACGAGGCTCACGGGTGGTCTCACTGCTGGATGCTTTCTGAGGCTGCAGCAGATCCAGCCTTCCAAAAACCATCTGCATGAAAACAGGATAGAAGCATTTCTGCATTTACTGTGGGTGGATTATTATTTTTTTAATACATTTTGTTTCATTTTTCCCCCAAGTGGAGTCCCAGCTGATAAAGAGTTAATTAAGTTTTTTTTCAGGGCAAATTGCTCAGGATCAGCACTTTGTGCTGCAAGATCTCTGCCCTACCCTGCTGGGCAGGGTCTGGCCCATTGCCCACAGCCATTCCCCAGAGTTACCTGAATTTTAGGCTGGAGCAGTGCTGATGGAGGGTGGTGAAATGCCCTGGGGTCAGCGAGGTATCGAGCTCTGGCAGATCCTGGTGCTGCCTTGGAGCAGGGAGATGTTTTCTTTCTCCTCCGTTAATCCCAAACACATGGCAGGGAGTGTGCAAGCTCGGAGTGTGCATTGCAAACAGATGCAGAGAGCTAACCTCTGCTCTGAGCTGATGTCAAAGCGTCCCCCTGACTTCTTGGGTCTTTCTTTAAATGTGCAGCAACGGGACGATGGAAGGGCTGGGGAGGCAAATGAAAAACTGCTGCCCATTAATACAGAGAAGTGCACAATGTTGTGGCTATAGAGTCACACGGGAGCATGTCAAAAGGGACAGAGCAGTAAGGAACCCAGCTCCAGGAATGATTTGCCTCCTGAGCAACCTGAATTGGGGAACAAACCCATAAAAACATCATTTCAGAGCAATTCACCATTCCACAATAAAAGCAGATACACGATTTACATAGGAAACACCCCCAGGAAAACAAATAAGTGTAATGAGTGGAAAGGGGACAGTTTGCAAGTTTGGATCTTCCCTGCACCGTGTCCTCACTGCGTGTGTTTTGATTTTCTTCCCACTTCACTCCTCGTTATTCCCAGGGAGACAACAAACAGCTCCTCACTCGGACTGCCGGTGGGAGGAGAACTTTCTGCTTGGCAGGACTGGAGGTGTCTCGAGCTGTTAGGAAAAACATCA